CGTAGGCAACGCACTATTTTGCTCGGGATTACTCGTCGCTACCACGTGATCAACATGTGGTGTGATACAGCTAAAATTTAACGGTCATCTACTAAACGAGTCGGAACTCGATAGCGTCTCGAGACCTGATTTACGCGATATAGAAAGAAAGAACGATTATTTTTATTTTAATTATGTTTGCCAAAATAAAACATTCATGATGTGAAATTAGTGGAACTTCCGAAAGATTTTACATACAAGTTCCTTGTGAAGATTGGTAAGTATGTGCAACTTGGTGCAACTATACATATGGGAAACTTATAGAAGACTCATTAGATGTAGTAAGTATTATATATGTTATAGGTATATAAACAAAATTTAATTTTGTTAAATTTAAGTTATAACAATATATTACAAGTAAAAATAAAAACAAATATTTTATAATTATGATTTTTATTACAAACGTAAAACTTCCCTAAAAATACTCCACTTCCTATTAAAAATTAACACTAATAAGTGGAAGATACACACTATTTATTGATATTTTGTTAATTAATAGAGTAAAATTAGATCGAATTTTTAATAATTTACACTGATTAGATTAGAAATGTATCTAATTAGAGTCACGACAACATCTAGTTAGATTACATATAATACACTGTTATAGCGTAACGATTTTACACTATTTAATAAACACCATCTTCTCATATCATCTTCACCATATCATTTAGTGTAAATTTTTAATCTATTCACCTACACTATATAGTGCAAAAAAATAACTCTAAATAAATTGGACCGATCTGAACCATGTTTTAGAGTTGATTTTTACTCTATATTTTTTCCTGTGTATTAAGAATGTTTTCAAGAAAACTGAGAGTACAAGAAAATATTGTTTTATATCACCAAAAAATATTACCATAAACCAGAAAGAAGAAGATAAAAAAAAGGTTTGTTGATTCCTTTTTTTTATAATTGTCACATCATTACCATAGATATGCAAAATAGGGCTTCTTTTGTTGCGACCTATGAATACATCTATTTTGATATAAATAGAAGTAGCATTAAGGCTTAAAACTTTCTTGAGTGTTTTCATTTTACATTCCCTTCCAAAATGTAGTGTTAAATTGATTGACTTAATTTAATTTACTTTCTAATAAACAAATAAGTCTTTATCCGCCAATGAAAGAGCTGTAAATAAAGCTACCTTACCCAACCCAACCCAATCCAACCAACCTAAGCCAACCCAACCCAACCCAACCTAAGCCAACCCAATCCAACCCAGCCACTCGAAGCCAACCCAATCCAACCCAGCCACTCGAAGCCAACCCAACTCAACCCGAATACTATTGCAGAAAAATATAATGTAATAGTTTCATCAAAATAATTGCAGTCAACAAACAGCTATTATCAAAACTTCTAGGAAATTTATTTTAAATTTTAAATGATACCGTAGATGAACTTTTATTCTACGATATATTAGTTCAATTAAACTTTAATTTGTTGACTGAAGGTAACAAAAGTATTTTTTAAACTCCACAGATTATAAACATTGGTAAAACGCATGATTCATAAAGTGTTTTCCATTTGTCGCGAATTATGTAACAATGTGGGAGCAAAACATACAACATTACTACTGTAAATCTAGCTGGATACCACGTAGCAAATTTATACGAAGTGCTTATAACTCATTACTATAATAACTTTACTGTAAGTACTATAAATACATTAATAATAATAATAATAATAATTTGCTAATTGTTAGAAGAATCCTAAAATGCCAAAAACAAAGACTAACGACTAGATACGACAAGTTTGTTCCTGTAATGAGTAATATTTACACTGTCTTGTCTATGTAAAACGCTGTAACAGAAAACAGCATAAAAACGAAACAATTCTATAACCCAAAGTGATGTCAGACTACAATAAATGCGTGGGTGGAGTTGAGACAATGGTATAGCTAATTATCAAATAAAAATAATAAGGAAAAATGGTGATGGCTATTGTTTATCAATACGATAGACAGCGCAATAGTTAAATGCTTTCTTCTTCTCGTGGTAGAATGTCAAAGCAACTCACCGTTAAGTATAAGAACCAACAATATAGAATACCTAATAAGAAGAAAATCGACCCACATATTATCATGTCAAGTCATCTATATAACCAAATTTTTTCCAGTAGTGCCAATAAAGATCCCAGTATAACATCTAAATAAATGTTATACAACACCTTGTTTCTGCAGATCAAGTTCAGGGAAAGTAAATATGTTTATTATTCCTATTTCAGAATGCAGATGACTTACGTTGCCTTAGTCCAATAAACATACTAGTTCTATTAGAACAAAAATTTTCTGTTGACCTTCAATCTAAAAGTCAAAAACCCACCAGCCTTTACTCAACTTGTTGGTTTTTCATCAACCCGGTTAGTAATTACTAACCAAGAACCCACGCGTCAGACCATTCACCCAAATGCACCACACCAGACAGACGGGCGTTGCTCTCACGGGTATTCCTTAACAAATGTTAAAGAAACATTGAACCACAATGGTTTTGGTTGAACGCGGTCTTTAACTTAAGCGATTTTTTTTCCTGTTTTATTTTTCGCATCTTTAATTTGAATAAATACAAACTGTTTGACCACTCCTTTGTGCAGATTGCAAAACTAAGAAATCCAAATGCAAATGTGTTTGTCTTAAGCTACTAACGGTGCTACACACGAGCCAAACTATCTGACGTCATCGATTATGCAGCGGATTCCAAGCTACTGAGTGGTTCTGTATGATAATGAGACACACACACACACAGTACGGGGTAAACCTGTAACTTTAAAACGTCTATCTTTACGGCCGGCGTCCAGTTTCTTCTCTGTATTCATTCAAAGACCCCAACGACTACCGTAACTATACAACGGCGGCTGTTTCGTAAAATTTATTGCGCGTTCGCCTAATGGATATAGAGTACAGAAACGGTTGTAATACCATACAACGCCAACGTTAGTGGTTCTAATAGACGAAATTACTCTCGGTATTACGTCGTTTAGAGCTAAGAAATAAACCTTTTGTTTCCCAACAAAAGGGCCACAGAACTAAAACCGTCGCAATGCGCGGTGAAAGATGTAATTACGAAGCGGTTAATTCAATAGTTAACTCGATTAACTCGAACAGTACTTACAACGGTGCGTACAACGACAAAACGCAAATTGTCGATCTATTAATAAGCCTCAGAGTTCGCTTAGTCACAGTAAACCAAGACAGATCGGCACTAAACCACTTCCTGGGTCCGAAGAGGTCGTAAAACAAAACCCGATATAGTTTCGGCCTCCGCAAGACCCATTTTAAACTAGCAGAAAATTACAACATATTTAATTTTATGGAGTTTTAAATGAGGGACAAACATTTATAATTTTTTTATAACCTGAGTAATATAATTAATAATCATTGATAAAACAGCATTCCACGCCTTCCTTTCGTCTTTGTTTTTTAACATCCGCGATTGATTAATTAGTCTTGTTCGAAACGAGTAACTGTACCTAAATTACGTCCTTAGGCTAAGCGCGCACCCACAACAGCTCGACGTGGGAAACGTGGGAAAGTGAGGAAGCTCGCGAGTAAGAATGCATCTTGCGGTAAGAAGAAATTGTAAAATGATGAAGAATAGAATAGAAAAGGAAAAAACAATGAATCGATCACGGATTATCCCTTCTTCTTTCAACAAAACAGTTACACATCAACGGTACGAATGGAGAAGCCAATTTTAGGGCACGTGGTATTTACAACTCCGTCATCGGTTCACGTGTACCCAAAATATGCGTTTAAGCCGCTTTATCAACTCCTATAAATATAATGAATGCGTCACGTTACCTACTTAGGGTGGTGTCGTCGTTCTTAATCCTTCCAGTTTTACTTTGTTACATTAACTTGGGCTATTAATATAACACCAAGAAAAAAATATATGAAGGATTTATTAAAGAAGTAAATTAAAAAAGAAATAAGAAAGGTATTTAGCATTATAATCCCAAGAGTGAAAGGATTCTCAATAGAGTTTTGTACTCATTAGCTATAAGAAATTGATAAATAATCCAATCATCTCCTGCAAATTGCAACCTTGAACGTTATAAGCTTTTATTCTTCATAAATTAATCCTTTTTTGAGAGTAATCTAGAATCAATTAAAATAAATAAGTTAAAAAAAAGGAAAAGTTAAAACAAAGACATTGTAAGCTATTAACTAGTGACTCAAGGACGTCGGAAGTGAACTGAGTGGTCATTAGAACCGGCAAAGATTCTCTCAATTAGCCGAGTCCCCTTTTGAGCCAAATTGTCTAGAATTCTGTTTAATAGCAACAACGGGAAGCGCACACGGAATGGGGTTGGAGACATTCCGAGTAAATTGCATCGTCTACCCAAGGGTAATTGAAACAAGTAAGTGGTTCGCTCGGGGAACGTCTTCTCGTAAAGATACGCCACTGGTTTATACACTACACAGTAAACTCAACCCCGGATATAAAAAGAAAACTTATAAAACACAATTCGAAATTCCCAAGAAATCTCGCGTTCGAGGAAATTGAACAACGGGGGTTGCGAAAAAACAACGATAACAATGACCCAAAGGATTTTTCCGTGAAACGCACAGAATCGTCGGTATTTAGAGCGGAAATCGTTTTTAGCAAGTCCTTATCTTTTCGCGCCGCCGTGTATACGACGACCGACGGGGCACAAAAAAGACACGTGCGAACGACGGTCAGCGATTGCCCAAGCTTCGAACGCTATTCTTATCCGTCCGTGGTTTATTTCTGGTAGTCAACAAAAGAGACAACTAAACACACACGAGGGTCCGATATTGAAATTCCACTGACGTGCACCGGAACCCAATCTGTCAACTGTACGTGCCTTTACGCACCGAACACTTGTGCGTTATCGTCACTAGGAGGAAGTTGATCAACAGGAAGCTTTTATGAACAAACAAAAATACGATAGGGAAAGATTTTACTTATTACAAAAAAAAAATAAAACTAAAGAACAATGAATTTACATATTATTTTTTTATTAGTCATCAAAATAATACAGATAATAATAATCACTCAGAGACTGTTCCAACTAATTTCAACGATATTCCAACTAGAGATGGAAAATTCTCGAGAAAAAAAAAATAGGAGAATATTCTCAATTTTGAGAATATTCTGATATATTTTGAGAAGCTGTAGGTATCTTGACCGCTACTTTACTTAATGTCGACCCAACACAAGTCCCCTTCACCATACAATGGGATGCAGTTTTTCAACAGACTCACCTGGGCTTGTTACAGTAGCTATATTGTCTATAAACTCTGTTCCTTGTATTTGATCTTCTCTATTAAGATGAATTCCATTAAAATTTGGATCTAGAATATTTGCAGCAAGATGGATTGGATTTATTGCCTCTTGACTAAAGAGTTTTTTTACTTCCCTTACAGTTTCTTTGGTGCTTAATAATTGATGATCTCATTCGTGAGTTAAACAATAAATATCGCTTCACAGTTGGTTAACCTGACAATTTTCTTTGTTACAGAATGCAGCAGGCGCTTAAACTTGTTGAACGATGGTGTGAAGAACTACCCTCTCTGTTAATCCTAAAAAAAACTGAGACTGTTCTCTTCACTAAACAGAAGAAACTGGGATACTTAACACCACCCAATTTCTGTAATAATCCATTAACCTTTGCTCCAGAAGTGTATATCTTGGACAAAGGACTAACTTGGGCATCACACATTAGTTGCAAAACCAAAAAAGCAACGATTGTACTGACCCAGTGCCAAAGGGCTATTGGGAATACTTGGGGACTAAATCCGAAAGTTACAATGTGGATTTACACTTCTGTGATAAGACCCATGGTAGCTCACGGAACCATAGTTTGGTGCTCACCACTAAAACATGCATATAAAGCTAAATCACTACATCAATTGCAACGACTGGTTGCAATTGAAGAAGTAGGAGCAGTAATTGAAAAGAAAGTAGAAGAAATCTCCTTTTGCTCTTTGTCAAACATTTGTTTCACGCCTATTGGGCATTTTAAACATCTTAATAAATGTTTCGTTATTTTTGTGACATTTTTTATATATTTAAAAGGGCAAAATTTACAAATGTACATTATTTTTCCATAAACTTTCATCATATTAAAATAGTTCCACACATTACTCTTCGGTTTTGTTACAACTTTGTTTTTACCGTCCATTATTCCCGCATCTGCCATGATATATTTCACACAATAATCAACGCACAAACCGAAACACGTTCATTCAAGTCTGTGGGATTCCCGAACCGTCCGAATTTTGTCAGGACCGACAGAAGGAGCCACTGCAAGATATTTTCGAGAATATTCTTCTCTTTCATCTCTAATTCCAACATGATGTAAAAATTTTTGTGCTAGCTTCAAGTTACAGTTGGCTCGTCACAAACCAGTTATTACCAAGAATAATTATCTTCAATTGTACCCAACGTTAATGGCCTACGCGCGAAGTTCTAAAACAGCACAAAACCGAATCCGAATGTCGTCGTCGGAGTGAGACCCAACTTCTTCCGTGCGCGCGCTCATCTTCCATTTTCGCTTGGTACCCTCTTGCTCCTCGCAACGCAGCTCTCGCGTGTTCATCGTGCTTCCTGAGCAATCCGGTCACGTGACTCGATTATTTGCGTACCAAGGTTACCGGCGACTTTCTATTCTGCAGCTGGACCGATAGCGACGACGGACGAAGAATTCGGCGGATTTGTGATGCCGGCTGCGAACGAGCTCCTTCCTCACCTTGAATCGAACGGCGCGCAGATCTTTTGTTCTAAGAAACCAAATGCCGAGACGAAAACAAAAACTTTATAAGCGATTTGCGACCGTAGTAGTTATGGGCATAGAAATTAGGTGAACTTTCCCCGGAAAATTATACCTTGAAGGGGAGTACGGATGTTTTGTCGTGATATTCAGTCGTTACTCATTGAGTCAGTCGTGATATTGTCATTTTTTCGAAATTAAAAAATTCAACGATGGTTGATTTGATTATACGGGGAAGTTGATCGGTTGTTTGCGATTTATGTCTTCGGCACGATTTGCGTTGTGATCATAATAATAAATTAACTATAACACGGTTATTATTTCCCCTAATTATTCGTCAAATTTATTACACTTCCTCCTCGTGCCATTTTGATTCGGGTAGCGTAAATCGCACCGGACAAACGTCGTAATTCAAACGCCATCGCGGCATCGAATTATAATTTCATTACTCGTTCGGTAGCCAGAGCGGGGCATTCAAATGCACCGGCCATAAACTACCCATGGAGCCATTACCAGCGAAATGGGCGAGCGTAAATCTCGATAAACGCGGCCCGCAGAATAAAACGACGGGACGTGGACGACAAATGCCGCGTACCTAATTGGTCGTTCCGTTGACGTTTTCATCACTTCCATCACACCCCCGCCGCGCCGTCCTGTGCTTGTTTATCTCTCCTTCTACTTGTCCCTTCTTTGACTTCTTATTGCTTTTTGTCCCAGAGACGTGCAACAAAGTGGTTCGGTACCACTTGAACCGCATTAATTTTCACGGCCAGATCCCCGCCTCGAAACAACGGGTAATGGAGGTATCGTGATCGGTCCATTTGTACGGAACACGCTCGCGGCGCAACCCACAAAAAATTCAAACTCCATTCGAAATCGTCAATCTAATCTAACCGCGGAATTGAACGGTAACCGCAACCAACATTGGTCCTCGTCGACGCGGCGTCTACGCGTCGCTCAATCGGACTCTTGACACTAATCAGAAAATTTCGAAATGTACGACAAAAACTACGTGTCCCAGATCGACTTAACCTTGCCGGACAAATGGCTCTCAACGGACTTAGATTACACTTAAAACAAATTGTAGTTGTTAAACGACCACAACATGACACATACAAGACCAACGTACACACATGACCACGTTGACACCATGCCACACCATCTGTAAATAGCGGTATCGATGTAATCCATAGCAAACATATGCTTCCATTAATGTCAATGTCTATAGCTTCTATACATTATTAACTCAAACGTATCTTTACGTCATCAATACACAAGTGTCTTTACTATTTTACTATTGCCATTACATAATACGAAACGAGCTGAATTCATTGCGAAAATATATCCGTAAATAGATACATACTATACATAAATCTAGACATTTGTCTTTATAACTTCACCATAAATTAATGATGTAAAACGATTTCTTTCATCTGCTGGGTGCTTAATTTCAACTGAACTGCAATTGATTCATTCTTTTGTCCTATAAACATTACTCAACATTTCCTGTGATACCAACTTTGTACTTTAAAACTTGAAATGTATTAAATCATGTTGCAATACATACCGTAGTTATTTGTTCTTTTTGGGACATATAGGTGCACACGTATACTTACAACAAGATAGGAGATATAAATTGTATCGCAATAAATTCAAGACTTATTTGTTATGTACTGTATATTTAACTTGAAAAAAGAAGTATAAACAAATACACGATATATATTGTATTGTTGATCACATTTTCCCGAAGGCGAGTTTTCTTTATCGTGTACTGGTCGATTTGCAATAAGAGAGTTGTGGCTAGAAATTACAAGTATCTACATTGAATTCTTAAAAAAAAAATTTGTTTTAAAACCCAGGTGAAGAAATCCAGTAGAAATATTTTAATACGTATTTGAAATGAATCAAAACAAATATCTTCAAACTATCATATTCTGCCAATACGCCAAAACGTTTCGAAGCATTATTCATGGATTCTGGTTAATTTATAATCGAACAATTGGAGTCGGAAACAATTTCTGAAATAACTCAGATTATTGTTGATACTATTCATGAAATATGGCTCAAAGCTTCAATTCTAACCGTTTCTGATACAGCTAAACCTATCATACAAATGATATGGGACTATCATGATAAATATCGTAATTGAAAGGAATAAACTCCAAAATTAGAGAAAAGAATATTTTTAAATATAAGAACTAAAACTTAAAAAAATTTAGACGTATCAGAAACCTTAAAATAACAAATTTTCAAAATTTCGAGCCAAACACTTTCATTTAGCCTAACTTAACAGTTGAATGACCAAGACTGTCAGATGGAGCAGTAGCTATTTATTTAAGCAGTGTTTAAGTGTGGATATACGGATGCTATAAATTATAAAGAGAGTGAGTAGCAACTGCCAGAAATTAATTTTCAGGATTTAAATATGGACGAGGAGAACTTGTTCGAAATTTCTCAGAAACAGCTTGAAGCGGCATTACCTCCAAGACTTGATGGGATGAAACCCAGAAAAAAGATCATCCTCGTTTGCCACTAATACCCAAAGGAATTTTATATGTGTCATGAAACTTGATAAGTGATTGGTTTCTGGCGCCTTACTAAAATTCTTTAGCGTAGCAGATTATTGTTTCAAAATTGCAACTTAATAAGAATTTGTCGTGTTTTACGAAGAACTGATAAACAACTATTTGCAAAATATAACAACATATCAAAAACAGTAATGGAATAGTTTAATACTAAAACAGATTATTAAATCGCAGATTAAAATGATAATTTACCAAAGGAAGGCATGGTGAATGTAGATAAGCAAACACCTCTCCGTGGTGACTGCTAGTAGAAGACTTTGACACATTTGCGCAACCACAAATATCGAATTAACATAAAAAGGTATTTATTATACCACATACTATAAAAATAAAAATCATGTTCTTTAAATACTCTTCAATGTGTTTTGTATGTTTCGAGAATTATAATACCTCATGCGTAATGATTGGCCTTATATGAACCATCATCCATAAACAAATAATTTCTATAATTACGAGGTTCCGATTATAATTCGTTTATTAGTTTCATCCTCGCTAAACATCTGCTCTTCATCTTTTTATGCTTTTATGGACACTAAAGCAACAGTCTTTATTAACATAAGATTATGCGCGTTTTTGTCCGAAATGACAAGTTTTTATACAAGTATAAATCTTCCGAATTGCAAGCCGGAAGACGTGCTTGGATCCTAAAGTTAATGATATAATTAATCATTAATAACTTTTTATTACCTGCTGGTTATTACCAGTAGTTACTAACTGATTATAAGTATAATTGAAAATAAAATAATTTTCTTCGTTAAATTCTGAAATCTTGTTATAACTTGTTTATTATAATAAATTGCGTGTTTTATTATCCATCAATATTTGCAACAAGTTTCTATTACTGCCATGAATATTTTCTAAATAAATTTCAAAAGTGTTTCATCCATCCTGTTTTCGTCGTGGCTACATGCAAACAAGCCATTACATTAGTTGATTCGTATAAATATAGATAGAAGCGAAACTGTACTCCCACACCGTTTTCCGAATTTACAGACTAGAGTAGTCAAGTCTGCCGCAATAACGCAAAAGTGAAAACGGCTGCTGCGGCGAGATGAATGTGGCAAGGCTGTTTCAGTTCGCCAACTAGCACTGTTTACCGTTCAGCCTTGGCCTTGGAGCGGTGACTGCTCTCGACGGTGCGGCCCGGAGGCCCCCCCATTGCCCCAGTGCCCCCTTACGCCGCCAACGCGCCCATAGGCGTCCTTTTTCTAACACGGATTGAGATTTCGACTTATCCTCTTCAAACTACCTCCTCCTTCATCATCTTCTGTTTTTATTTGCTTCTTTTGCAATATCCCGTCACCCGGAGCAACACTCGGGAAGACCTTTGATCCTGAACGCCGCCTCCTTTACTCCTTCTTTTCGCACCCGTTCACTGCCACGGCATAGTATAAATAACCGATTGTGTAACCAGTTTGGCGGCATACGCTTGACCCGTGATGGATTACCTAATTACTTTTGGATTGAGAACAAGATAACTTGAATCAAATTTTTACTTCATTGTCGAATCAATATGATTTATGTATTACAATTAATGATGTAACATTAAATAGATAAATTTGAATTAGATGTAATAAAATTTTCGATTTATTTTTAGTTATGGAGATATTATTGTAATATTTTTATTGCGACTTTAGAGGCGATGCGCACGCAGCGCACTGTGTCAATGTTTCATGGTCGCTGGGTTATTGCACCGGCGGAAAAATAAGTTCTCCGCCCCCCTCTGGGGCCCCGCAAACCCGACAACTTCGCAGCTTGCAGTTCCTTCTATCGTCGGGCTGCCAGCGACGAGATAACGGTGTGCGACGCTGCTACTTCTGTAAAAAAAAATGCAGACGTTTTCTTTCTAAAAGGAACACAGAGAGGCATCTACTCTAACCAACTTGATTTAAAATGACAGAGAAGAATCTGGTTAATCAACGTATCCATAAAATTCCTACTTGTGATAATCTCTTAAGATCTTTCACTAACAATTTCCTCAATGTGTCTTTCCTTCATTTTCTATTTTTTTTAACTCAACTTGTTTACTTTAAAAATTACTGCCAAATAAAATCGCTTTGTAATCCAGCGTCAAGGCTATCTGATATTTCACAATTAAAGTTAATAATGACGTTATTGATCGATGATAAACAACCGGTCAGCCGGTTGAAGAAACCGAAGTAACCGAAAGATCCGAAGAAATGAAGAAGGTTTTCAGTTGAATTTAGACGCTTTAAAGGTTTCCCGGTCGTCGGATAATTGGATCAACATGTTCGAACCCGATTCGTTTATATGTTTTCCTGCGGGACACCAACTGTAGCCCCTTTTTTATGACGAGACCACGCGTCTGTCGCATAAATCTCCGACACCGAAAGCGAATTAAGCGCAATTTATATTCGCAAAGGTTGCCCGCGGATGGAAAAGTACGAGATAAATATAAAAACGTCCAAAATTCTAAATCTGTGACCGATGCTCAAATATTTAGATACAGGCACTGACCTACGCAACCGGGTATTTTTAGCGGGAGGTTCTAGGAAACACGCTAATCGAAAAACAAACACTTTTTCCAGAGCGTTCCCATGCAAAATAAATAGATCCGCGTGTTTACGTAAGAAGCAATACAGTCTTTGGGTTAGAAAGCTCGATACTGAGCTAATTTTATTGGCATATTTAACCAGCGTAAAACCCACATATCATCCACATCTCCTCGCTACTTTTTTTTTTGGATACGCATTATCTAATTGAGAATAATAACCAGTGCACTAAAACATAATTTATAATTGCCTACTATAACCTATTAATCACATCTAAATAGATCTTATCATGAACGATATACGAACGACTCGAGAAACAATTACGGCCACTAACAGTAATATTTCACGCAATCAGCTCAATTAATCTCGCCAGATTCAAAAAAAAACTAAAGAAATATATGCACACGAAATAATCTTCATATCTTAGTTGATATAGTTCTTTATGTTAATACGCTTCAGCACCTTAACAACTGATAAAACGACGTCAATCCCGTTGAGGGAATTTGTATTACAAGTTTGAGCAAATTATTCCCCCTTTGTTTCGCAGTTAGCTGAAACGCCTAACGCGACGTTAAGATAATTGGATCGGTCGCAACTGCATTAATCAGAACTGCTACGGCGAGAAAGATCTAAGCAACGATTTACGTAGCCGATAGCGTAGAGGGTTACATAAGACTTAATTGCGCTTTTACGGGTTGGAAAACAATTGCTTTATAATTAACCGACGGAGATTAGGCGGGTTATGTACGGTATGTGATTAAGGGATAAGGATAATTGCTTGAATATGTCAAAACTCGCAATTTACAATGTGTCGGAAGAAATAATTATCGAATTAAAACGAAATCGTGTATCATGAATACATTCGCTTTAAGTTTAAACATTAACAAAAGTCGAAAGAATTGCAAAAACATAAAACAAAAAATATAAAAGTAATTTAAGCGTCCAACTTGGACAGTATTAATAATCGGAAGGTATTTAAGCTCCCATATGAGAGCCGATTAAGGATCTATAAATAGGTGCGCGTTCAGCGAGCGAAACCGGTCCCCGTAGCTTTCGGTAAGATCCTAAGAAACCGTCAGGTAGCGCCGCCGTCGCAAAAACGAAGAGACTCGCAGGAACGTTTCCAACAGAACGCAACGTTTAATGTAAAACCATAATTCCTCAAACATATCTTACCGTAACATCTTCCCCCAGAACGAAAATATCGGTAGAGTACTCACCTGAAACAAAGAAAAACAAAAATACAAAAAGGTGATCAGACTCCATGTCACTCGACATCAGCTCGTTTAGGTCACGGCTGACTCTCTCTCGATTTGCGCGAGCTAAACGTATGTCATTGTGTTCGTCGAGGAAAATCTCAAATTGAACAAACAATAAGCACGCCGTGTAATTTGAACCGAAATGGTTGCGCGTTATTGAAATCACATCGAAGGGAACAAAGAGGTCGTCTAAGACACGACCGAAATAAAAAAAATCTATTGGGTCTATTGTATTTTCTTGCTTGAACGTTAGTTTGTGATTTAAAGATATAATATTACAATTGAAGGTAAACGATAGTCTTAAGATTCTCAATATGATAACTAATAACAATTGATGTAGGTATAGAATAAATAAGGTATCTATTTAAAATTGCCAAGTCAAAAAATGTTTGCTAAATATATTTCAACAAGGTGGACAAATAAAACGTGATGAAGTAATTTGTTATTTAGTAGAAAACTCATTCAGCAAGTTAGTCATTCACAAAACTACTCATTGAATTAGTAACAGCTAAAATGAGTTTAGTATTAGTTCTCCATATTTATTGCTTTCAAAATACTACGGGGAATAAGTTTGAACTACTCAGGTGTAACTTCATACATAACTTATTTAACGAGGTACCTACTCCAAACAAAGTAGTTCAGGGCTAAAGCTGCACACTCAGCTGCAATGTAGTTTGCAGAGCAACACATTTAAAAGATATATTATTATCTACTTATGTTTTGATATTGCCATAATAATAATAATAATAAATCTTGACTTACAAAACAGTCAAAAACATGATTTACAAACGATTTATGAATTAAGATGAAAACTCGTTAGATAATGCCAAAGTGGTAAATCCCTTTCAACCTCGGAACAACTTTATGAATGATGTCATGAAAAAGAGTTTGATCGCGTATACCATGAGATGCAATTATACAAACATGAAAGATCAGATTTATTTATATGTTGTATCTGATCTTGTATTACATACTTTTCTCGCCGTATAAGTGCAAAAGAATACTACTTAGAGTTTAAACGTGGCTGCCTAAGATACCAAAGATCTAATATTTTCAAAAAAAAAAATTATACAAACAGCCCAGTTAATATCCGGTTCACATTATTCCACTAATATTCGAGTCCAGTTATCGAAACTAGTGCTGCAATTCCACTGGAATAATATGAACCGCAATGGAATGCAGTCATTCCATTGAGCAATCCTGTCCAGTGAGTGGATTGAACAGTTTACTTTTTCACTCCAGCTTGCCCATTGCAGGTCCACTGGAATTATGTAGACGGCCAATCTAGTACTGAAATGACAACATAGAAGCGGTGCCTCACTTTATATACCTTGGTGTAGCATTATCTAGGGTGGGTACAGAGGAACAAAAAGTCAGAAGATCAGCCTTGGTCGTATTTTGCATTGACCCCCATATTCAGATCTCGGGATATACACCGAGAAACCAAACTGCGTACATACAAAACAATCATCAGACCAACTCTAAGCTATGGGATGAAAAAGTCGGCGGAAAGCGCGAAAGTCTTCGAGAGGAGGATCTTGAGAAGAATATTTGGGCCCGTTCGGGAGGAGGATGGATGGAGATCAAGATACAACCATCAGTTGTACGAGATTTATAAAGATCTGCCACTAGCACAGTTCATCAGACTCCGACGCCTAAGATGGGCTGGCCACGTGATTAAAATGGGAAAAGAGAGAGTGCCGAGAAGACTGATCGGTAAAAGGATGCAGGGAGTGAGACCGAGGAGATGGCCGAGATTGAGATGGGAGGAAGCAGTCGACCGGGATGCTAGGAAGATGGTCGGAAGTAGGAGTTGGAGGAGAGGCTGAGGGAGGCCAAGGCTCGATACGGGCTGTAGAGCCATAGATCAATGAATCCAGTGCTGGATACTTTGAATAGTGAACATGCATTGTTGTTTTTTGAGAACACGCACTGGACTGAATTGACTCGCTGTATTAATGGACTGGAATAATGTGAACCGGGCATAAACAGCATTTTATGAAATCTATTTAAAAAAGCTTACTCAACGTTTTTATTGTCGCGAAAAGCATACTAAACCTTAAAATCCGATACAAACACATCATTCCCAACAACAACAACATGCAGCCTTTAAGCTTCAGTCTTCTAGAGAAAGAAGCCAAACGATTATTACACTGCGAATAATAGCAATAAAGTTTCTCGGAAAGCAAAACCTGTCATTGGTTGCAAAATTGTGGTTAAGTCATTCTATTACATGATAAGACACTTCAGGAGTATACTTTATAATGCCAATTTAAATGACAGGAAGATTTACGAAAAATATTTCTTTTTGGAAAACCATTAAAGTAAATATCTTTGGAACAGATGGTAATTCATATGCATGACGAAAAACGAGAATTTTGACCAACTGTGAAACATAGTGGCGGATCTATGATGGTCATTTTCAACTGTTAGAAATGAAATGTGTTTAGATATTTTAAGTAATCTACATCGAAGCGTGGATAAACATTGTCTAGGGAGCGACTGGCGATTTTAACAAGATCTAAAACACAAAGCTTACGAAGTACATTTCTAGTATAGTTGTTCTACTCTAACGGAAACAAAACCCAGACATAAATCCCATCGAGAATTTGTGGAACTGTTTGGATTTAAAGTTCGGGAACATGCAATTTCTAGTAAACACAAGCTGAACAACGTTCTTATTTGCTGGAAGAATGAGGAAAAGCTTTATTTTGTGAAAAGTTGCTGTAATTGCAAACTCAGTGATTCATTCTACTTTAGTTACTTTTTTTATTTTAATTATATTAATTTGATAAAGCCAAAGAAATCAAACTTTTTATATATTTGTAATTTATTTTACATTGTAATAAAGTTGACAGACTACAGCTGATGATGTACTTTTTGCACGAAATCGGTACCAAGAAAATAAATTAAATATCATCAAGATCGATTTTTTTCATTCCCCAACCATTTTAAATGGTAGTCTATTTATGGGAATCAAAAGTGAAATAAAAATTGTGATTGAAAAAAAAGTTAGAATTAAATGGTAGAATAAGCGGCGGTTGG